TTGCCGCACGAAAGTCGTTTGTATGACGTACGGGTCTACCATTCTAATTTATGCGTTATACTGAGGCTCGCATTTTTGTCAACACCGCCTACGTTGTTAGTCTTCCTGCTAATTGCACGTGAAAACGGAGGGAAATTTTTCCTCTTTCATTAGATTACCATTAGTTGTCCCGTAACTTATTCCCAAAGCTAGTACTTCTGCTAACAAGTATAATTACTCGATGTCTCTTCTCGAGGCGTGTATTATAAATTAAAGTTATTAACCAAATGATGATTCAAAAGATACTTCATATAACATCCAATGTTTTTATGCATGCTTTTGTGCTTAACGTCTAGAAAGTTATCACTGTTGACGATGATCAGTACGTAGCTAACGTGGGTGTATTTTTATTCACAGCTTGATAAATGTGTTAAATCTGCTGAGAACAAATAGCCATAATGTTGTGTTATGTTATGTTATGTTATGTTATGTTATGTTATGTTATGTTATGTTATGTTATGTTATGTTATGTTATGTTTTGTTATGTTTTGTTATGTTTTGTTATGTTATGTTGTATCACGTGTTGTGTCATGTTATGTTATATGATTAATAGTATTCGTTTTAAAAGTTTGCTGAATCGTATTCCATGCGACAAATCCAATATACAATTGCACGCCATTCCGAACCAAGTAATTTGTTTAATTCATTATTTTATAAATACAACAATATTTAAGAAACATATAACCCGGCATAGTGAAATGAACGGATGATCGATGCATTGATAGAAGCAGACATCGGAATTACAATTTTAGGTTAAATCGTTCCACCGACAAGTTAATCGCATACCGATGTTTATTGGCGATCAACCAGGGATAGAGATGGTTCAAATAGAATTAACACTATATCAACAATTATTTCTTTACATAAACGCGTGATTCATACATACTGTATATACTAACACGGCATACGACAGTTTACAAAATAATTAATAAGTTCGTTTAAACTAATAATTATATGATGACTAAACTGACATGTTGATGTGTAATCGTAACATAATTGATAATGTCTTGTTAACGACAGAAAGCAAGACGTGAGTCTGCGGAAGAAATATAGTTCGCAGCTGTCAGGAGAAAGTTCTCATCTCATTCCTTGGATTTAGTGACTATCAAAATGCTCCCGTAGTTTCCCGCCAGGGTTTTGTAACTGCACCTCACAACAACAGGCATAGTGCCCGTACCATCAAAGCTTCACTTTCATATAACATTTACATGGTAGTTTAACAGTCACAGAGTAATTAACAGGCAATAGGTAAATAAAAACGTTCTAAATATATGGATTTTTTAAATAACGTTAAGTCTTACACGTATTCTCTATCATAATATGTGATATACACCCATAAATGTAAATTAATTTACTGATGAACACCATTTCAGTCAGTACACTTCACTGACTAAGCTTAACAAAATTGTCCTAAACATGTTAGTTTATATGTAGGAAACACATTACCACTAAGTAGCTTCATACGCGTATACGCCAAGAAAGCAAACCCCCTTTTAAGGTATTATATCACATTAATTTAAAGTCAATATTTCTATATTTTCGTATTGTTCGTATTGTTCGTATTATCGTATTGTAGAATATCGTGTCCCTTTATAACAATACCCACACAAAGCATATAACTGTATATACATATCTTTTCTTGTTTTTGCATGTATTATTAATGCATCATACCTAGGCGAATCGCAAAACCAGAAATGTTCGAACGATACCTTCACGTAGGATTTCGATTTCGAGAAATAGCAACGAAGCGCCACCTATGTTCAACAAAGCTAAGCATTGTACTGTAATCGCACAGATATGATCTGACAACATGCCAGATGTATAAAATATCATTCAAACATCATATTACGAGCTATACATTGTGTGTGTGTGTGTGGGTGTGTGCGTGCGTGCGTGCGTGCGTGCGTGCTTGCGTGTCCGCGCGCGTGCGTGTGTGTTTGTGTGTGTGTGTGTGTGTGTGTGTGTGTGTGTGTGTGTGTGTGTGTGTGTGTGTGTGTGTGTGTGTGTGTGTGTGTGTGTGTG